GCAAATGCCTTCAGTAGTTTCCTCAAATCTTCCCCCACTTTGGGTTGCCTCCTCTTTAGGTTGAACGTAGGAGCACGAATTCTGAGCTAGACCCCCTGTTCCACACGGTGGGCCTGCCACTTACCAGACGGGTGACCTACCTCACTATCCCTCTGGGTTAAGCCTAATAATACTATACGTGCCTCAGGGGGTTGATGTGAGAATTGACTGACCTCATAAAAGTGCTTAGAACAGGGCCTGTCATAGAGTAAATCAAGTGATAGTTGTTTTATTGTCATTAATGGTGTAACTATCCCTATTGTCTTTGTAGTTGCTTTATTGTCATTAATGGCATAACTATTCCTATTGTCTTTGTTACTAGGAATAGAACAGTATGCCTAAGGGTGAAATCAATCACCAGTGATGGTTTAAAGGCAGTTGTCACTTCCACCCTAGGCAGTGGGGTCAACTGGACCTCTCCACGGGGGCCTACAACCATCAAGAGGGACGGTTCTGACAGTCCAGGTAAATCTTGCCTAAAACACAGCTAGCGTAACTTTTTATTTTTTAAGTTTTTGAAAGTTTTATTCTATTTTTTAATTGAGATATAGTTGATTTAACACATCTTTTAATTATTCACACACATACATCATGAGCTTATAAAACAGAGACACTACATAGAAGGGAGGTTCCCAATGAAAATAAGGAATTATATTAATTTACACCTTTCAGCCCAGATGCCACAACATGCTTTGGCTGGAATTAAGATAATTTGGCATTTTAACAACTGGCCAGGTGAAAGCTACTTTTACATTTTGTCATTCTTTCTGCATTTAAGACCTAAAAAGCTACTACTAAATATTCTAAATCATAGAAACTATTTCTAAATCACCGGATACAAAATGTCAAATTATCACTGTAAGCTTAACAGCATTACCGTAATACTTCCCTGTTACGGGATATAAATCTTAGGAAATCAGGAACAGCTTTATAGGCATTTGTTTATGCTTATACATCAAACATGCTTTTCACACCTTCAATTAATGCAGAGCAACAAGTAAAAACTTGACCTTTATTAGCACAGGTTTCAGTTTCTATGCTCAGAGATGTCGATAAAATACCTCCAAGAAATGCTTTTAGAAGACAGAAGCCTGTGAAATTGAGAGTCATCACATCCCCAAATATGCTTTTTTATACCAAGTTAAAAGTAAATTGGTTTCAAAGCAGCCAAGTATTCAAAAAGAATAATCTCTTTTAAACTCATCATCCTGGCTCTAGCAGTTTGCTCTGCTTTTTCTATTTCTCACATTACTCTGAATAATTATTTTCATTTAATTAACATTACCTTTGTACATGTGAATACGTATTTCACATATTCTTCTGCAATGTATCATGGTTCAAACGTAAATGTAGAAAGGTATATAGTAGTGGCCACTGTTTTTTATATTATAGAAATAAATTTTCAAATTATTTCTGGAGAATTGTGTGCTTCAAACCCATTCCTTTGGCTCCTTTCACTAAAACTCTTAAAATTCAATAAATTCCATTCATGAATTCCTCATCAAAGCTAGGGTCCTAAGTCTCCTCCCTCAAGCTTATTTTATGTTAGGGTTACACCACTGTTAAAACAAGTTATGATTTACTTGCAAGTCAAACTAAGGCCCTGAAAATAACTTTACACCTTTACTTTTCCATCACCCTTAAATAAGAACTGGAAACCACCTGGGTTATCTTGGGCAACCCAGTGCTTGGGTGCCATGACAGATGTCAGCTGACTTGGTTTAAGGCCGTGGTTTTCAAATCCCCTGGGGTCTTAGCAGGTGGAGGTAGGACAAGCGAGGGGCTGGCCTGGTTCTTGGCCTCCAAACCTCCCTTCAACCAGAGCAGCTCAGAGCTCTAGTTGTATCTTATTTGCACATACTGTCAGGTGAGTTTAAAGATATTCCCCTGCTTGCTTGCTTGCTTGCTTCCTTTCCTTTCTCTTTCTTTCCACTCCCTTATTCTTTTTCTAGGAATTATATCATGTATATAATTATGTTTTTAATAAAAACATAATTTTAATAAAACATAATAAAAACAATTATTTTTTAAAAACACATATAATAATTATATCATGTGTATAACCCTTCTCTCTGAGCAATTCAGTCCTAAGCCATCAGGTAGACCAGAGCAGGGGTGGGGTCTGTGCAGAGGAGCAGCCTGGTGGGGGGTGGGGGATGTCAGAGCCAGAGAGGTGAGTATGTTGGGAGGGTAGTGATGGGTGAAGAGGGTGGGCAACCTGGTGCAGTGAATCAGAGCCCAAAGAGGGCCAGGTGTCCACCGGAAGGGAGTGGCTTGGCATGAGTGGTCAGTCAGAAATGAGTGGAGAAATGGCCAATTCCTGGGGTGGGGCAGGGAAAGTTCAAGATGAACCTAGAACATCCTGTAGCAAAAATGTAAAGAAGGGCTCAAATAATTAAGACTTATCAACAGGCCACAGAAGCCAGCCTGCCACCAGCCAAATTAGGGACAATTTGAGCATCAGAATAAATTACAATAATGGGTAATAAAAGTATGGCCCCTGGGCCAGTAGCAATAACTGGAAGCTTGTTAGAAACGCACATTCTTGGGTCCTACCCCAGACCTGCAGAATCAGAGACTCTGGAGACAAGCCCTCTATAGGGTTCTCCATGAACACTCAAGTCTGAGAACCAATGAAGTAGGAAACCATGAGTCCACTGAAGAAATAAATGAAAGTTTGTTGAGGAATACAATATCCATATGGCCTCCAAGATACCACCTCACAAAATACCAGGAAAAAAAGGGTAACTTTACAAACCTTAATCAAGTTATCAAAATGAACATACGTAGTAGGACAAATTAAAGCTGAGCACCAGCTTGTAAGATGTGATGAGAAAACATTTCTGATGTTCCTGCTACACAGAGGCATACCTGCATTTAGTAATGAAATATCAGACAAACCCCTACTGAGGGTCATTCTACAAAATCACTGGTGCATTAGCTTTAAAAATATCAAGGTCATGAGTATCAAAGAAATCAGTAGTAGACACAGTAAATGTTTATGGAGTAAAGTTCACTTTAAGTAACTTTGGAATTTTGTTTTCTTGAAGCCATTAAAATATTCCTATAAGAAAGCATGATCTATATATATATTTTTTAAATCTAAACTTTACAATTACTTTTGTAGTAATTTATCTTAAGTCAGAATAGTTTGAGGCATTCTTTCTGATAGTAACTTGGACTACAAAGCCAAATTATATTAACGCAGCTCCCAGTAACAATAAGCCATGTCTTCAGCACATGGAAGAGTATTTGTTTTCTTAGCCTGCCTGCAAGTATATCCAAAAGTAGAGTTTTACCCTACTGACTTGAAAGAAAAGGCTAATGCGAACACATTGCTGTTTTACTTGACTGGAAATTCGCTAATTGTAATGAATTAATTATCTCATTCATTAGGAAATACTTCCCAATTCTGGAGGAAATATTAAAGATATGTTCTGTGAATCAACCAAGTCTTCATCAGACTCAATTAGAAGGAAATATAGGAGTAAATCTTCATGATCTTGACTTAGGCAATGATGTGACACCAAGAGCACAATCAACAAAACAAAAAGCTGATGAACTGGACTTCACCAAAGTAAACTTTCGTGCTTCAAACAATACCATCAAGAAAATGAAAAACAAAACAAGATTATACTGTATAGCACAGGGAAATATATACAAGATCTTGTGGTAGCTCAGAGAAAAAAAAATGACAATGAATATATATGTATGTTCATGTATAACTGAAAAATTGTGCTGTACAGTGGAATTTGACACAGTATAAAATGACTGTAACTCAATTAAAAAAATGTTAAAAAAAAAATCTTACAACTCAAAAATGACCCCCAAAAAAGAAAAAATTTAAAAGTGGGCAAAGGACCATTACCAGACACATCTCCAGAGAAGATATGCAAATAGCCAATAAGCACATGAAAAGGTCCCCAACAATAGTAGCCATTAGGAAAACACAAATCAAAACCAAAGGATACTCCACAAGCTATAATCAAAGACAGTTAAGAGTCGGGGAAGATGTAGAGAAATTGGAGCCTTCCTACATTGCTGGTTGGAAAGCAAAACGGTGCAGCTAATTTGAAAAATAACTTGGCAGCTCCTCAAAAGGTTAAACACAGAAGTAACATATAATCCACGGTTCCAATTCTAGGCATATACTCAAAAGAAATAAAAACATGTCTACACAAAAACTTGTACGCATGTTTGTCGCAATATTATTCACCATAGCCCTTAAGTGGAAACAACCCAAATGTCACCTGATGAATAAAATGTAGGTTACCCATACAGAGTATTATTTGACAACAAAAAAGGGTTAGTACTTACACATGAGACAACAGGAATCTTAAAAACATACTAAGTGGAAAAAACAGCCAGTCACCAAAGGCAACATAATGTATGATTTCATTTGTGAAACGTCCAAGATAAGGCAAATCTATAGTGGTTGCCTGGGGCTGGGGGACTGGGGACTGAACAGGAGTGACTTCATATAAAACTGGCCATTTTCTGCATCTGGCCCAAAGGCACGAACTCCTGTATTAAAGTGTATTCAATTTAATCCTTTTTCCTTGGCATCTATAGAATTTTGCTTCCTTTATGTCAACAGTTACCAATTTGGTTAATGTAATGGGGGTCCAGTACAGTTCAAGTAGATTTCACTCGAGAAGAGCATGAGAAACTGGCACCAAAATCATTTCAGGTTTATATATATATATGTTAAGATACACTAAAAGGTTTCGAAATCACAGAAAAAAATTAGGAAGAAAACACAGCCTGAATCCTATTTGTCTGTCAACTCCATGAAAAAGAGGCAATTTCTGTTCATGGCTCTACCCCTAGGGCCCAGAACAATGGCTAGTATACAAAAGGCACTCACGGCTGCTGAAATGAGGCAAAATATGAGTGACATCTCCTTTAACCTTAGCAAGGGGTAAAAAGTCTTCGAGTCACAATATGCACAGCACAGAAGGTAAGTTGTAAAATATTTTTTATTGTAAAAACAGAGTCAATAGAGGTTGACAACACAAATGTTATCTCAGAACATTTCCCCTTGGTTCCTGAATTTGTTCGGTTCCTATGCGTCAGCAAGTCTCCATCAGCACTTCTCAGGTGTCACGGTCATTTTCAGATATGTTTATCGATTATATGTATATATTGCTTAGAAACAAAAGTCCATATGATATTAAAACCAACCAACCAACCTGTTGTGCCTTTCTTTCACAGATTTATGTATCTCAGGTACTTTCGCAATTTAAAAGTAAAGTTAGTGCCCTAATCAAACCAAAGAATCCTCCATCACAAGTTATTAAATGAAACCTCTCATGACACTTGCAATATATCCAGATTCAAAGATTTTTAAAGAATTTAGAATTTTAAAAAAACTTCAGACTGCTTTTTCATATTTGAAAGACTATAGTTATTTGCAGCATACAAATGGAGAGAGTAGTGCAAAATGCGTCAAGTTTTATATGATAAATATACTTTCAACCTAAATGGTTGCCTCAAAAGCAAAGAGTGAAAAATTACTCCTTCTCAAAAGCAATCTAGACTGACTCAATAAAGTTCACAAATTAGAAAGATCAATTGCTACTCTATTTTCATAGATTGCAAAATAACGTCAGAAACAGATTAAACATACAACTGTTTTACAAAAATAGAAATATTGTTTGGGCTCTACAAAACTCTATAAAATATAACACTATATTTGTAAATTCAAGATAGTTTCACACTGAAATAGGTAATACTTCCACAGACTTGAAGTCTAGTCAAATTTAACTGGTCTGTCTTCATCATTCTTATACATTATTTCTTCCAAATCTTCAGCCTAAGTAGATCTGTGCTCTATCATGAGATTTTTTTTTTTTTAAAGACTGTTTAATTTCAAGAAGTTTTAAGATCTTTCATTCTGGAAATAATGTTAAAGCAGATGAATTTATACCTACAAATATGTCTTACTAAAAGTAGAAATAATGCAATGACAAGTTGATAAATTTCAAACCAAGTTCCCAAGAATGACAACCTACTATTAATGTAAAATATATATTTGACAATTATAATTTGGTACCTATAAAAGTGAAAACATAATCACAACTATTTTATGGAAAAATATTTATTCAAATAGAATGAAGAACCTCTGAATTTAGTTATTTGCAGCTGTCAAATGAAAAGTATTTTCTAATTATATCCATTTAACATTCATTTTACCATCTCAAAAAGCACCAGTGTACTTTTAAAACAAACTAAAAAGTGAGAAGGTATGGGCTTATTTCATGCAACAGTGCTATTATGATAAGGCACCACCTGGTATATGAAAAAGCCAAACAAAGTTATTTTCAAAGCATGTCTTTTTCTGTTACTGGTGTATTAACCATTAGACAGGATAGTTAGAAAAATGCTAATAATATTAACTAAACATATCATACTCCTTTTTCCATCATTCTTTGCTTTCAGTTTTTCCATATAACAGAACATAAACAACAATGTAGTACATGATATGTTAAATAAACATCTTTTTCCCAACCATCCAAGAAAATAGTCTAGAATTAAATCAAGAATAAGAAACCAAAAATTATCTGATATATTTGCAATAGTCTATCCCTGTAGAAGGGTAGGGAGCTGGGGGAGGTGAGGGGGGGAGTGGCGGCAACAGTGGGTGAGGGTGGGAGTGATAAAAGGACCTATTTTCTATAGAATATATTGAGGCACATAGGTTAAAAGTTCTCAGGCAAATCCATGGCTAGAGCAAAATGAAAGCTCAGCATTTTACATTCCCCCCAGAGCTGATTTTTCAGATAGACACATCCAATTAAATATTTCAAAACGTGTCCTTAGTCACTGCTGTCATCATCATCGTCATCGTCAGATACATCATTTAAAGGAGACTTCAATGACTGACTGTAGGAGTCCGACCTAGCAGGCTGGCACGTGGCCATGTCCCCAGCGGAAAGCAGGTCATAGCAGAAGTCACAAATCCGCACAGGCTTAGAGGACTGGCTGGGAAGAAGAAATCTCTTTTCAGAGCAGGGCCCACAGACAACAAAACCACATTTGCGGCAATGGTGGCGACGATTAACAGGTGTGAATTTTGCTTTCTGACAACGCATACACACAGTTGCCTCGGAGTCAGGAACCCACACAGCAGCATGCTCATTACTGGGCGTCTTCCCACTCTTGGAGAGCAAATCAGTAACGCATTTATTTATGTGATTCATCCATTCTGACTTCTCAGTGGCAGTGGCAGCATAAACTGCAAATGATTTAGTTGGTGTCTTGATAAGCCATCCATTCCTCAGGTCTCCCTCATCTTTGATGGAATCAATTGTGACATTTTCTAGAGGAATAATATGTTGTTTGTTATATTTTTTCTTCTGGATGACAATATTGCCATATACAAGGATATCATTAAATAAGAAAAACTGCCGTGCTTTGGGCTTTTTTCTGCACAACTTAGTCAATACTCCTTCTCCAATAAGAACCCGTCCAGGTATAGTCAAGGGCTGGCCAGCTGCTCCAAAACAGTTTTCTACTATATTTATACGTCTAGTATTTGCTTCACTGTTTGCCAAACGATCCACCATCTTTTGCTAACAGCCTTTAAAAAAAAGAGAAGAAAAAGATATTAACACATAGAAATTACAAACTCATAGAATTTATACACTCTAATCTAACAAATCATTACTTTTATCCAAAGGCAAAATTCTCCAAAATTGTTTCCCTCTAAGATAAGATAAGCATACCAAAAAGGCTAACTAACATCTCTCTATTTTTATAATCATCAAAAACTTAGTAACCTTCATATAGTACTACACTAATTAAGCAGGTATTTACAAAGGATAAACTTCCTACAGACATAAAGGAACAAAAATAATGAAAATGAATATAAGTCATCAGCTCCTTGAAATTTAACCTCAGAGGGATTCTGAACAAGAGGGCCAAATATTATACAAACTAAGAGAAGTGACTTACGATTTTTCCAGTAAGCTATTACGTTGAGTAGCTAAAGCCTTAATTCTCTCACCTGGATCGGCAGAATAGTTTCCCAACACGTCTCCCGCCTTTGGTCTTGCCTCTCAAATCAATCTTCAGGCAAATAATCTCTCAAATACAAATCTGACCATGCCATTACTCAAAATGACTCCCCTTAACCTATAAAATGCAGACTCTTTCGCATGGCATTTATAGGCCCTTCATTTGGTTCCTGGTTACCTTCCCAGACTCACCATAACGCACTCTTTACCTCAAGTTTTATGTTCTAAGTATACCCCACCACTTGTACTCCATTTCAACCACACGTCTTCTCTCACGGTACTGTATCTTTTACTACTTACTACCCCCAGCTAACTCTTACTCATCCTTCGAGACTCTGTTTAGATTTTCATATCTACTTCAGGAAGCCTTCCTTAAACTCTTAGACTAAAGACCTTCCTCTGTGCTCTTCATATTCCATGCACCTTCTGGCCTCACTCCTACCAAAGGATTGAAATCTGTCTCCTCCACAGGCTGCAAAGGAAACTAAGGCAGGGACCACCTGATAGCTATCTTTGAAATTCACACCATCTAGCATAGCAAAAAATGCTCAAAAATGTTGACAAGAACATTTTGGCAATGTGCAAAAAACCCCGTATTAATCTAATCTTAAATGATCACAGATTTAATCTCTAGGTCTACTACTGACGTCACTCAAGTCCCAGAGTTGTGCTCTATTCCAGACCACTAACCTAAGAATACCACACTACACCCAAATCATAGTAAAAAGAGGAGGAGCAGTTAAAGACTAACAGCACTGTCTTAGTTCTAGTATTCAGCTCACAAACTGATGATATTGTGACCCTTCCTAGCCTCCATCATAAAGGGCACAACAATTGTATTTATTCCTGAACGTCTCTCCCCTAGTCTTGGGTCCTTATAAAGCCGTCTTGCCTTCCACAAAGGTGGGCTCTGCCCTG